CTCCCTCTCTCTCCCTCCCTCTCTCTCTCTCTCTNATCGTTTTCTCTCTCTTCTTTTTCTATTTACACCTGCGTCGATTGTTGAGCCTTGTAATGATAACATCTTAGAGCATAAAACAAAACTAAATGAACACAAATATATACTTAAAACAGAACAATGGAACTTTTCATTAGTAGCCACATATTAGCATTAATACTTTCGATGTTATTCATTGTCACTTAGGAGGTCGCGAGGATTATTTGGAAGGGAGCGGGATGAAAGGCTTCTGACATGAGGTTTGTGGCTGGATTTGTTAAGTTAGTTTTGATTGTTTATGCAGCAATATTTTAAGAAATCTGAGTCTTTTGAGTCGACTCTGAGGGTTCCGTGAAAGTCATTTGTCAATGTATAGCCCAAGGTAGCGGACTACATTAGCTGATGGAAGAGGGGCGGGCACTATTGTAGTAGATGGGAGCAGTGGTTATTCTCCGAAGGGTGAAAGTGACATGTTCACATTTTTGTATGTTTATTGTCATCTTCCACCGCTTGAACCACTGCTGAAGGGATGTGATATTGCTTTACAGGTTTCTCCTTGAAATGACAGGGTCTTTATCAGAGGAAGTATGGCGGTATCATCCGCGAATTTAGTGAGGATCGTTTCTGGTTAATAAATTAATCACCGAAAGGTAAATGCTAATAAAAAATCTAATAAAGTAATCAGAATCAAAGTTTGTATATTGATTTTTGTTCAGTTTTCTGTCATTTATCGCAACAGCCTATATTTCTCTTTATCCGTGCAACCATGCTATTACTTTGTATTTAAAAAATGGTGCAGAAATACAACGTTTCTTTAATAGAAAAACGTCACTTCGTTATTTTTCTACGGGACAAAGGAATGACATGCCCAATATAGTAACATACCCTTCTCATGTTACCTTCGATGCTGACAAGGTGTCCCATAACATGGTAGGAAACACACTACGACACCATTAACAGTCCACCACCGTGTTTGACTGTAACACTCACATTTTTATTTTTATTTTATTTTATTTTTTTTTTAATTCATCTTTACGCCTTCGCCAAATTATTTGTCTACCATTGGATCCAAACAAATTAAATTTGCTTTCATCAGAAAATACCATATTTTCCCAAAAACTTAGTGTTATTGTTAAGTACTTTCTAGCAAAAACAAGGCGCTTTTATCGATTAGCTTTGCTTATAAATGGTTTTTTCCGAGAAATCTGCCAAATAGCCCTTCAGAATTTAAATAATTTCGTATGGTCCTTTTACATACCTGAGTTGAATGGACACTATCGGCCAAAGCCCAGGCATTCAGATTCGGATTATTTAGGATCTGATTAATCATTCTCTCATTATGTTTTTTCGGACGTCCGTTGTTTCGGCATTACTAAAGAAATTGTTTTATCCACAAAAAACTATTACGCTTTGGAAGTGTTTTGAAAACTAAAAGGATAAAGGATCTACCATGAACGACATTACTATCCCCAATTACAAATATTATAATTGGTTTTTATTTAGAAATCGTGAGATTCGGTCTGGTGGGATGTAGGTTTCAGAAAAACATTTTCTTTATCGTGCCAACGTTTCGATCTTTATTGAGGGCACTCTCGACACGACACGCAAGAATGGCACAATTACACAGAAGACAAACACTTTGAGCCCTGAAGATGATCTCAATAAAGATCGAAACGTTGGCACGATAAAGAAAATGTTTTTCTGAAACCTACATCACACCAGACCGCATCTCACGATTTCTAAATAAATATCGATTAACGGTCACTAATCGCCACACATTATAATTGGTGCAAATAATTTTTTCCAAGGCAAATTATTGTTCATTACTCCAATTAATTATTCTTTTTATTTAGGATTTTTGGTTAAGATAAAAAATTAGTGTGAAGAGCGGGATTCGAACCCACGACCTTCGGCTCAAAACGCCGCTGCTCTAACCACTCGAGCTATCGTGACTTCCTTCGATCCTCTCGGACACTAACTCTCCAGTCTCCATCTCAACCTAAAACCGTTCGCATTTTCTCTCTCTTTGCCATTTTCAAATGTCGTGTAATCAGGATTTGATTCTCAGCTACTTATGAAGTGGCCACGGGGAACTGTTAATAAAGTAATTACTTCTTTTAATTATTAAATTAATCCATATTTGCCTAGTGGTCATAATTGGCCATATTAATTATTTCAATTAATTCTTCTTTTTATCTACAGTTTTGGTCTCGACCTTCGGCTCAATACTCCACTGCTCTAATCGGTTTACATATCGTGACAAGTGGTTAGAGAAGCGGCGTATTGGGCCGAAGATCGTGGGTTCGAATCTCGCTCGTGACACTAAATTTTTCATCTTAACCAAGACCTTAGATAAAAGTATATTTAACTTTAAAAAATATATCTTTAGTGACCGTTAGTTAATGATTTTGTAGAGATTGTGAGATGTGGTCTAGTGTGACGTAGGATTAGATAAAACATTTCTTTGTCGTGCGAATGTTTCGGCATTTATTGAGATCATTTTCAGGGCCTGGGATTTATAAACATTGTTTAAATTGTACAAATACATGTAAGATATGAAAATGAATTTATACAATGAATATAGAAATTTTAGGTTTAATCAAAGACATTAATCATTCAAAGACAAACCAACATACATATCCATCCATTCGTTCACTGGCTATCACAAATTAAACACATTTCTTTCCTCTGATAATTTTAAAATATCCTTCAAAAATTATAAAACTATTCACACTCTTTTTTTCCAAAATTAAAGATCCCACACCAGTAACAAATAAGTCTGACATAATTTACAAATTGTTTAAACTGTCCTACAATTTACATCGGAATTACATCCCAATATCTGGATAAGAGAGTAATGCAACATATCTATGATTGCAAAAAATCCAAACAAAATCTTACAGCACTGGCTACTCACCATTTCGAACACCAACACAACTTCGATTTCAAAATCTAAAAATATTAAATACAGGAAAAAAAAACAGAAATAACTTTTTATAAATAGTTTACATCTACAGAGATAAACACAGCATTTATTACAGAACAGACACATGTAAACTCAGCCGCGGCTATGTTAATATGAAAAATCAAATTTGATATCAGTAACACAAAACATATAACACAACATATAAAACATTCATTATACTCCACAGATCTAACAATTCTCCATAGTCTAATTCTACAAAAATTTATCTCTCATTCCTCCCCCCCCAGACTAATAAGTCTATAATAATCCTGAAAAGATAACTAAACTGGAACGACAAACCATTTTCGTTTTTCCCCATTGTCGGTCTCTTTCACCTCAAAGAGCCGACTCCTCATAGAAAAATGTATTTCTATCCCTACTTCTTTAAAACCCAACATATATAAACAAAAAGCATTAATATCACACTAACTCTCCCACACGACACAAAACAGTGACGCATCTACACAGAATACACATTTTGAGTGACGGCAAATACTTTGATTAAACCTAAAATTTATTTCTGTTTTGTCATATTTTGTACGTATTTGTATAATTTAAACTTTTGTTTATAAATCCCAGTTCCTGAAGATAATTTCAATAAAGATTGAAAAGTTGGCACGACAAAGAAAATTTTTTCTAAACCCACATCACACCAGAACGCATCTCACGATCTCTAAATAATCATATGTTAATAAAATACAAATTTTGTTTATTGTGTGGTGATTAGTGACCGTTAATCGATATTTATTTAGAAATCGTGAGATGCGGTCTGGTGTGATGTAGGTTTCAGGAAACATTTCCTTTATCGTGCCAACGTTTCGATCTTTATTGAGATCATCTTCAGGGCCTGGGATTTACAAACATTGTTTACATATAACAATTACATTTTGGATGTGGAAAAGTGAATTTATACAATGCAAAATATATTTTTTTACATATTCACTCAAAGTGTTTGTTTCCTGTGCAATTGTGTCATTCTTGCGTGTCGTGTCGAGAGTGCTAGTGAGATTTTGCTATTTTGTGTTGTTGGATTTTGAAGGGGTGGGGAAGGAAGTCAGTATAGAAAAGACATTTTTGTATAAGGCGTCGGCTTTTTTGAGGTGAAAAGAGCCGACGAAGGGAAAAAATGTGTCGGTAATGGTTCGGCCAGATTATCCTTTCAGGATTATATAGAAAGGGATAAATAGGAAAAGGAAAGCTAAATTTTTAGACTATGTAAAAAATATTTGATGTGTGGAATGTAATGTGATGATATAGGTATAGTTATCTGTATTGAATTTGATTAATGATATTGGCGTAGCTGCGACTGAGTTTACATGTATCTGTTCTGTAATTGATGCTGTGTTTATCTCTGTTGATATAAACCATTTCTAAGAAATTACGTTTATGTTTGTTTTGTTCTGTGTGTAATACTTTTGGATTTTTGAAGTCGAAAACATTTTTTCCCTTCGTCGCTCTTTTTACCTTAAAAAAGCCGACGCCTTATACAAAAATGTCTTTTCTATACCGACATCCTTCCCCACCCCTTCAAAATCCAACGTATATAAACACAAAATAGCAAAATCTCACTGGCACTCTCGACACGACATGTAAGAATGGCACAATTACCCAGAAAACAAAAACTTTGAGTGAGTAGAAATACTTTGATTGAATAAATAAAAAAATATATTTTGCATTGTATAAATTCACTTTTCCACATCCAAAATGTAATTGTTATATGTAAACAATGTTTGTAAATCCCAGGCCCTGAAGATGATCTCAAAAAAGATTGAAACGTTGGCACGATAAAGAAAATGTTTTTCTTTAAACCTACATCACACCAGACCGCATCTCACGATTTCTAAATCAATTTTGTTTATTAATTATTATTCCTTGCATTATTTTGTATTTCTATTTCAACAAAGAGATAAAGGCTATGACATCTACCGGGAGTACGTGGAACTAAAATCATGGGAAGTCTTGTTATTGAACTAAAGTACTCTCAAACATGATTTGAATTTTAAGCATAGGCAAATAATTTTTTTTTCTTTAGTCGACAAGATTTTTAACGTTTCTTTTTATTTTGTTTAAATCAATTGTTTTAAGCGTCTACTTCGGAGTACGTACATTGATAAAGGTGCGCAGTAATATAACCTGACGTGTTACCTTCCGTAGTCCCTTCGCTTTGTCGGTCCGTTTACTAATTACTTTGTCGCCCCTTTCACTTTGTCGTTCTGTCGGTTTGCGAATTTCGTCCGAAAACCCAAGAAAATGCCTTTCCGTCGTTGATTTATTTCAGTTTGATTCGAAGTGAAAACACGACAAATGGCCAATAGCGAAACGGCTCAGGTTTGTTCACTTCCTCTTCCTCCTGCCCAGTATATAAACAACTACACAGATGAAAATATCAAAAGAGGAAGAGCTCCCAGGCCGCCTCCTCCTATCCACGATTCATATTCCATGTTTGGAGTCACCTATAACGCAGACGATTCCATAATCAGACCGCTTGAAGCCCAGGTAATTCATTTTCACAAAAATGCCAATTACAATAAAAAAAAAGTGCTCTAAATCAATACTGAATTGATTTCAATTGAATGTACCAACAGGGTATTAAACGGCTCTATCCTCAACATTTCGATAGAAGGAGAGAATTGCGTAAACTGAATCACTCGTTGCTTGTTAATTTTCTCGATTTGATCGACCTTCTCGTACGATGCCCCGAATCGCCTAGAAGGGCGGAAAAGGTAGAAGACCTCAGCCTTCTCTTCATACACATACACCATTTGCTCAACGAATTCCGACCGCATCAGGCACGTGAGACACTTCGCGTCATGATGGACCTGCAGAAAAGGCAGCGCATTGAGATCTCGCAGCGATTTCAGAAACATCTCGACAAGGTATAGTATCCAATTGGGTTATAATTGTCTTTATGGTTTATTTATGTCGTAAATTTAATGATAACAATTTGTACAACAGGTCATCGAAATGCTTCAGCAAGCGCTACAGAATCTTCCGGACACGTCGGACTTCGATTCAAAGCTGATGATTCCGACCGAAGCGTTTGAAAACCTCGACTCGGCAAATCACGACTCCTCGAATGGGGATACAACTTCTATACTGGACGATATGATGTGCGATATAGTCGATCAACTCTAAATCTTAACAATTATCATTTAATTTATTTTGTCCAAGAAAATGCTGCTCCAGTGATAGAATTAACTCCAGACGAAACTAAATAACAACTATTTGAGTGAAGATCAAGTAAATGGTCATCGGATGAAGAAAACACTCAAATCATGCCTAACTTTCGTCAAATAAAAATAATAAGGTTGAAGTTAACAATCATCTTTACAAGCCCTAGATTGAGAAATACATATTTTAAATACAAAAGTTTGAAGACATTATAAATGAATTTTTATGTATCTATAAATATATTTTTTTTTTATTATTATTTTTATTTTTTATTGGCCTTATGATCTTGCATATTAGCCATGGTACGAATTCTTGTGTGTTCAAATTGGGGGTTATCGGGAAAAAAGGGCCAGAGGCGACGGTGGGAATCAAACCCACGACCGCGGCGTGAGAGTCTCTCATGCTAACCACTCGGCTACCGCGGCCCCCAAAATATATTTTTAAAAACCCCTTTATAATGTCCACACACTTTTGTATTTAAAATATGTATTTTCCATTCTAGGACTTGTGAACAATGACCATTACTCTTCTGAAGGTGTTATAATGACTAAAGCTCAGCACATTTTTGGTGTTTTCATCTGATGACCATATACCTGATCCTCACTTAAATAACAACTGTCACCCTTCTTTTAGACTTCATTATACATTTTTTTTTTTTTTTTTTTTTTTAATAACAGAAAATATAACATGTTTTGTCAGCCTTTACATGTTATATTCTCAAAAAACTTTAATTTACAAACTGGAAAAATATTTTTATTGAAAGTTATAATCAAGAAGGTATAATAACACTATACTGCAGTTGAAAAGGTCATCTTTTAATAATAGATTTTTAAATTTATATTGTTTTTATAATCTACTTTTTTCATTGTAAATAATTTTTTTATGATCTCTAAAATTAAAAAAATATATATATTTAAAAGTGGTTCATGCTTATTTTCCATAGTTTTATATACCAACAATTTTTCTTTTACAGCACATTCCTTTCAGTATCGACTATAAGAAATACAAACTATATTTTTGTAGTGCTTTAAAATATCGCATCCGTGTGTAATATAATTTTTAATAGTCTACAAGTCGACCGTATGGTTTTCCATTTTACTCAGTTTACAGGTTGGGTAAAGGGAAATGAAAATCCCATGGGCGTTGAATGGATAAACACAAGACTCTAAGAAACAAGGCCAAACGCATATGTACATACATACCAAACGAACCTGTCTTCTTGCGGCAAGCCAATAAGAATCACCCACTGCGGACAGACCTTAGTGTTATCCACCCAGCAATTGAAGTTAGGCTCTAGGGGCTCTCAACAACCAGGTTTAAGAACCCAATGCAGTTTTTAAAAATAAACCCACGCGCTTTTAAATGCATTTTTTTCTATTTACATACATTCATTCAATTATGGTGGTGAGTACTCGATAGTCCTCTATCTTCTTTAGACATACACTCAAATATAAAAAACTGTACACCCATACTTTGTTTATTTCAAAATATATGTATTTTTGCTAATATGTACACAATATCAGAAATTCATGAATTTTAAGAAATTATTTAATTATGATGTTTTTGAAAGAAAATTCACCAAAACACATCCTAAAAAAATCATTTAGTGAAAGAGTAAATTGTCAGTTTTACTTTAATGTATCACGAAATTATTTTCTTAATAATTAAAATATGCATGTTGTAATTAATATAACGTTAAAAATACATTTAATCTAAGGTCTTGGTTGAGATGAAAAAGCAAGGGTTGTGGACGGGATAAAAACCCATGACCATTGGCTGAATATACCGCTGCTCTAACCATTTAAACTATTAACTTTGATTCTGTCGAAACCACCTCCCCCATCTCAACCTTCATTTTGAATTTTCCCTATTTTTGTCATATTTTCAAATATCCGTGTAATCAGGATTCGATTCTCGGCAACTTTTGACTGTATTAATTATTTTAATTAATTATACTTTTAATCTAAGATCTTGGTTGAGATGAAAAAGCAAGTGTCACATTGCTGAAGGTCGTCGGTTTGAATCCCATTTGAATGACACGTGCTTTTTCACCTCAACCAAGACATTAAATTAAAAGCATAATTAATTAAAATAATTAATACATTGCAATAAATTAAGGTTTTTAGTTGAGATAAAAAAGTCAAAGGCACGAGCGGGATTCGAACCCACGATCTTCGGCTAGATACACCACTTCTTTACCACTTGAGCTATCGTGACCTCAATCCACTCGGACACTAACTTCCCATCTCAACCCCACTTTTGAATTTTACCTCCTTTTTGCCATTTTTTAATGAAGTATATTTCACTAAATCTCTCTGTGGCCATTTCATTTGTCGCCGAGAATCCAATCCGATTACACGACATTTGAAAAATGGCAAAAAGGAGGGAAAATTCAAAAGGTGGGGTTGAGATGGGAAGTTAGTATCCGAGTGGATCGAGGTCACGATAGCTCAAGTGGTAGAGCAGCGGCGTATCTAGCCGAAGATCGTGGGTTCGAATCCCGCTCGTGCCATTGACTTTTTTTATCTCGACTAAAAACCTTAATTAATTGTAATATATTAATTGGTCAAGCGGACCACAAAATTAGTGAATTTAATGAATTAAAATGAAGTATACTTCACTAAAGCTCTCCGTGGCCATTTCAATTGGCGCCGAGAATCCAATCCGATTACACGACATTTGACAAATAAACAATAATCAAAGAAAATACAATTTTCCTATCTGGAATTTATTATTTTATTTGTTATCAATAAAAAACTGAATAGCTTTAAGTCCATTTAAAATATTCTAAAGCCAGATGATATTTGATTTAGAGAACATTTTTCCGTTGTTTGGTTGTACTGCTAATCCAGTGTGTCATTCTATTCATTCTATAAATTTTGGTCAGATGTGTTGTCTAATTTGGCCTAATTCATAAATTCTTAATAAAGAAAATGGTAAGACAGCCAGTAGACAGCAAGTATAAGATATCAGTGATCACAGAAAGTCAAAGTACATATAAACAGTAAAGTGTGTTATTTACACAATAATTGAGGTTATGTGTTGATTGAATAAACGTTTCTGGATCAAGAGTTGTCCATCATTTACCACATTAGCAGTTCTAGGTTCAAATCCCAACATAGCCTTTGAAATTTTGTTTGCAAATAATTTAATGAAAAGAAAGAAGCATTGCAAAGTGATAGGACCCCTTATCTGTGACAACCCATGGGTGGTTGGAGCCCTTTTGTATGACAGGAATTCTTTACTTTTAATGCTACTATATCAGGATTAAATCTTAAAAGTTTTCTCAAAATTAACAACACATTTTTGTTTATACTCAAAACTCATTTCTGTAATGTTTAGCTTGAAAACAACTTATAAAGACTGTTTTAATGGAAATCATTCATAATTTTTTGTTAAATTTTGTACATTGTTTTGACCACATTAGCCAAGCATTGTACAGTTTCAGTTATTTTTTTGGTAGTTGGAACAGGTTAAAAATTACAGGAGTGTTGGTGGGAATCAAATCCATGTTTACTACTCAGTAGTACCCAAACTACAAATGTCATGTCATTTTGTATATTTTTACAATTTTTAATTGCATAATTTAAATTACCTCATTTGTCTGTTACAGAAATCAAAAAGTAACGCAACTCACTTATTTATCAAGAAAGTGACGATCAACTTGTCTGGCCGATACAGCTGTGAAGTTTCCGCCGATGCCCCTTCCTTCAGAACTGCATTTGCATTTGGCAATATGAATATAGTTGGTAAATATATTTACTTTTATTTTGCCAAAAACTGAAAAATTTGAACTTTCGCCAACCAGAATCCACTAACATTTGGATCATCCTATTGAACTACCAGTGTAATTTTTGATTTTCGATTTGCAAAAAAAATTTTTTTCAGTTGTCCCTAAAACACTGCCAGAGGTACATGGCATGAAACCAAGATATCGAGTTGGTGATGTTTTAAAAGCCACGTGTGTTTCTAAAAATTCGAGGCCTGCAGCCAATTTGACATGGGCTTTAAATGGCAATTTGGTATGCTAAAATGTCAATTAAGTAAAGATTTCCATTTCAAGTTATTCATTTTTTTTCCAGATTGATTCTGAGCACATAATAAAAACAAGCGTAAGAAATGAAGTAAAGACGAATTTAGAAACATCCATTTCGACCCTTAGCATCGAACTCCAAAGGCATCATTTTTCTGAAAGCGGTCGATTAAAAGTATGATGTTTTGAGGAAATTTACATTATAGAAAAAATAAGAATTTGTTAATAATTTCAGTTAAGATGCACAGCTAGCATTCATAATATTTATTGGAGAACATCGGAAAACAGTGCAGAAGAGGAGAAACCGAAGGAAGCGGTTCCAGCACAAGACTACAGGCTGCACGTGGCCCATTCGAGTAAATGAATTATTTATTACAATTCCTTCTTCCTCGCCCTTAGTTTTTTCTTTTCTATTTATTTTCATCGTTGGTGTAAAGTAATCCCAGTCATGCAGGGGGACTTAACGATCATTGAGTATCATGGACGAGGGGTCAAACTACTTTACAATAGAGTTATGTTGATGAATTCATGCTGAACCGGCATGGGGTCACATATTGTATCCGTTTTCACTTGCGGGTTTGTTGAACTACTCGAATGTGTTTCAGCATTATGCCATTTTCAGTGAGAAACTATTTGAGAGAAATAGACTTGCCCACCAACATCTAGCATCAACTCTAACACGACCATTCAGTTTACATTACTTGAAAAAGGTAGTTCCTCATTGAATGGCGAAATATGCATTTATAAGGTTCAGCATCACTTTACAATACTTCGTCCACGTTATTCACAAATAAAAATCCATGGGCCCAGAATCAAACCCACTAGCATGGCAAGCATGCACATTACAGTTCTGATTGTATAGAAAATATTAACTATTACTCGAAATTAGTTGAGAAGAAATGCCCAGCAGTGTTCCTCACCTAAGCAAAAACATTGATGACAAAAATTACATACAATTGGCAGAATCAGCCTTGAGATTTATATGATATATTTTCGCCCTTTCCACACTCTAAGAATTGGTTGTAGCTCCTGGAAAGGAACCTTTTGGATAATTGCATTTCCTCTTTACTATTCCTTTGTTTTTTGTTTTTGTTTTATTCATTTTTTTATGAATCCTTGGGGCATTTAAAAAAAGCCCTTTGTAAGTATGCTGGATTTGAACCGGGACCCTTACCTTAAAGTCACACAGGCCTAAACCGTTGCGGCCACCGACACCCCTTGGGGTCATTAAAAAACTCATTAAAAAAATATATATACAATCATTCTCGATTTATTTATTGCTTTTTGCGCACTTTGGTTCATTCCGTTATTTTTAGGGCTTAGGCAGATAAATCCTAGAGAAAAAAACACTGAAATTCAAAGACAAAAAGCGATAAATAAATTCCAAGTCTATCTTTGCTATTGTATGTATTTGTTTATGTCTGCAATATTTTAACACCAACGATGAATTTTTATTGTTTTGTTTCTAAAATTAATTTATACTTTTCGTTTCAGCGGAAACTACTGCTTTGCCTTCAAGCAGTAGCAGTTCAAGCGAATCGCTTTTTCTACCAGCAGTCCAAAATAAACTTTGGCCATTTTACATGTCTGTATTGATTTTGTACATAAATAAATATCAATGCACTTTAATTTTGTATTAAATGTTTTGCTGACCATTTGAGTATTAACTGTGTAAATGTTGTAAATAACAAAATTTATCTATAAATGTTTATTATATTAATAAATTATATTGTATAAAAATTGGTTTCTAGAATGCCATTTCTGGATCGAATTATTAATTTTTAAAAATGTTATTTTTTGTCATGTATTGTGTGATATTAAAATTATAACGCATATTATTATTTATTAACTAGTAGATATTTATTTTAATACAATAAATAATGTAGCAATTTAATAAAAACAACCAAACATTTTTGAAAGAACATCTTGGTGTCTAACTGTAATGATATAAGAAATTAAATGGCTTGATTGCCTAAGGTTATATGTTAAAATTTATTTCAAATAAAAATGAGAAAAATATTTTTAATATGTATAACACAGATTTTCTGAAAGAAGAGCAAATATGTAATGGAATCCCAGAAAATAATTGAACAATTAATTATCACAAAGCAATATACCCTCTATGGGCCTAAAATGTTTTATACAATTTTTGAAATTTAATTTCAATTCTTTACTAAGTTAAATAGTAAAAAGATTTTTTTTAAACTATTAACAGCCTAGATAATATTAGTTGTTTAAAAATATAATTTACAAATTGGTAATAATATATTTTGTTAATGTTTGTTGTGTTTAAAGAGATGTATGTGCTATTCTTTGTAAATATTATATATATTTTTTTATTGTTGGAATTTAATTGGTCAGCAAAAAAGAAAACATGTGCCAAAATCTATTAAATGTACAAATTTACTTTTTAAAAATTACCTTTATTTATTCTTTTCCTTTTTGATTGCTCCTACGAATATAATATATATTTCTCGCCATAAACCCCAATTCCAAGGGTATAACAAGAAGAGATAATAATAAGCCAAATATCCCATGTTTTAGACAATATAAACATAGGGATTAAAAGATATTTTATGTGATTGTCAATAATAAAATTGGGTCAAGTTAAATATTTAGGCATTTCAACTTATTCACTTCCAAAACTATTCCACTTAATTCCCTTAAAAAGTTCAAAACCATGTTTTAATGAACAGAGGTAGCTGGAGTAGATAAATCTACATTTATTGAGCTAAAGAAATACATTTGATTTATACTACACTGACGGACAAAATTAATGCACAACCCTGAAATTTTAATGTATTTAGGTTTATTCATATTTTGCATACCAAAAATAGGTTTGGTTGTAAAAATTTTACATTTAAATAGAAAATATTTATCTAAAAAAAATATTGACTAAAGAACAAAAAAAATTAAATAGAAAATACAAACATAAAAAAAACCTTTTTTGTCCCATTTAAATACACACTAAGCAAATCTCAGCCAAGGAAAGACAACCAATATATATTTCATCATTTCGGACTGAACGTTGGCTGCCAACACTTTGCTTATCCTGATCAAACCAAGGGGTCAGGGGCCAAGGGATTCCGCCATGTGGAATTGCAGTCAACCCTTTTGATGTTACTGCCAGAAGACTGAACCTTGACCAAGGCCAGTTGCTTCATTAGATGCACCACCATTGTTCCGTACACACTATGCAAATCTGAGCCGTCACTGTTGTGTACGGCTAAAGACACTACATGTCTTCAATTATGTCTTGTAAGTAACTCTGTAAAGAGATCATCCTCACACAACAACCAATTCCGTGCGGGTGTCCAAGGAAATACCACCCAAAACATCAATGACCCAACTGAGGAACTATACAGCATTGGGCTTCACTTGTGCGTCTCCATATGAAATTACTACTCCATATGAAGATTTGAGACCGACTCTCACTTCATCTGTCAAGACAACTCGTCCCCAATCTTCCAATTCCAATTGATTTTGTGTGAAAGTGTTGTGAACAAACCAATATGACACCACAAGAATAACACCAAACTTTATGCTCTGAAGATGACCCGAATAAAGGCCGAAACATCGGCCAAAAAATGAAAAAGGAATTTTTCTAAACTACCTCATTCTTGACCGCTCTTCACGACGTCAACAAATTAATTTCTTATATAGAACCGCTACAGATATATATTTGTTTTTTAAATTTTCGGACAGTGTAATCTGCTGGTGCGCAGAATTTAGTTCAAATATAGAAAAAACGCATTCTGAAGGAAAATGGTTTAACTCATCTTCGGTTGTATTAAGCCGGCGCAGAAATAACGCAGGTTTTGAAAAGGCAGTCACAACTATTTTAATTTTTTTTTATAAAATAAAGAAAATTTATTCGAAATATTTTCCCTTTTACTGGACCGTTTTAGGGACTCCCCTACGCACTGCTTCGTTGGGGTGCAGCCACCACTCTCTCTATAAATCGAATCAGGAAATAGCAGGCAAATAAACAATGTATGTGTATGTTTACGTATATTGATTATGAGGGTTATAAAAAGTAAATAAAAGGCGATGATAACTTAGTAGTTGTTTGCCTATTAAAAAAAAAATCTATATTTCTTTGCTAACATGTAATAAATAAGAGTTTTTATTCCGCTAATATCAAAATCATTATTTCAACTCCCAATAAAAGCCCAATTCGCCGCGTTCTCTAAAAATTTTATCCCTCAAAAAGTGATCAAAATACCTAAAAAAGTGGAAGTCTGTAGGCGATAGGTCGGGTGAATATGGGGGGTGCGGTAAGGTCCTTAATGTTTCCGCAGGATTGGCATTGCGACATGTAGCCTGGTGAAGAAAAATCGGCCCCTTACGTATCAATGCTGGATTAGTTTCGCCTGCATTTTGTCAATTTCATGGCAATATTTCTCTGCTGTATTAGTTTCGCCATAATTCAGAAAGTTATAGAGAATAAACAAAGCAGTACACCACCAAACTGTCACCATGACCTTTTTTGATGCAGATTTGGTTTCGGGAAGTGTATTGGCGCTTCATCCTTGTCCAAACCTGTACGCCTCCTGAAGTACATAATCCATTTCTCATCGCACGTGATGGTTCGAAGGAGAAATGGATCATTTTGATGGTGCAACAGAAGTGATAACCATCTAACCATCCCTAAACAGAAGAGACGTGTAAATTTCAAAGCGTCGATTCTTTGAGCTTTGGTTAGTTCTTGGAGTTATTTGGACCCACCCACTTGTCGAGCTTCTTTATTTTACGAATTTGCTCCGGATTGTGAACAACGGTTAACTGGTCAACATTAAACTCTTTCGCAATTCCTCGTGTTGTCTTTGTAAATTTTCTTCACTCAACGTTTTGAATTAGTGGTCGTCCACAACGGAAGGCCCACTGTGACATTCGAGATCGACATCTCCAAGATGAAATCTCTGCATCTCTGCACCGTGCATTCGCTATTGCTTCCCACCCCCGAAACTGTATTGATGTTATGCGCGGTTTGGGACGCACTTCGCCCAAGTTTAAATTCTTACAAATAAATTTGACGACAATCTAGTTTACACATATTTAATTTCACCGATCCTCACTCTTAAAAAATTCAATATAACGCTAAAAGGTTTTGTGTACAAGCTAACAGTTACAACTATTTATTGTAATCATCTGAGGATTTAGCTTTGTTTACAGACAAGCATCTCCGAAAATAAAACAAATTTTCAAAACCTGCATTAATTTTTTATCAACCCAATAGTAGTTTGCTTATGATGAAATTAATCTTAGGGTTCAAGTTTCTATAATCAATGACCGATCGGTAATCCTTTGTATCCTTTAGATTATTTGTCACCAGGAAGCACGGGCTTGACTTAAGGGCTTTGTACCGGTCGGGCCCTGAGTGATTTACAAAGTCCAATACAACCCCCGGCTTGAGTGGGATCTCTTAATACGGTCCTTAATCCCTAATTTACACCTAAGTACTTCTGGATATAACGAATTAATTTTTTCTAAAATTTATCAGGTGTAATTATTGTTAATTCATGTCTCTGAGGGACATATTTGAGTTGAAACCAAAACTGATTAAGGTGAAAAAGAAACAATTCTTATGTGTGTTTGTGTTTTTTTCCTGAATGTGTTATGTTTGTAAAATGTCTGGTGATTAGTGACCGTTAATCGATAATTATTCAGAAATCGTGAGATGCGGTCTGGTGTGATGTAGGTTTCAGAAAAACAATTTCTTTATCGTGCCAACGTTTCGATCTTTATTGAGATCATCTTCAGGGCTCAAAGTGTTTGTCTTCTGTGTAATTGTGCCATTCTCATTCTTGCGTGTCGTGTTGAGAGTGCCAGTAGAATTTTGTAAGTGCGTCTCTTCTGTTTTGGGCCCAACCCTGAATTCGGAGAACCGAAAACAAGTCCCAGAGGTTCTTTATGGTCGGACCTGATTACAATAATTTAATTTACTTATCAGGCACCTTTTTTTAATATGTTCCATTCAAATATTCAATTCAAACCAAAATAAATACGAGACCAAAATATTAATTAAATTTAAATCTTTCATTACAATTTATTTTCAAAAAAAGATTACAATTTCTTTTATTAATTATTATTTTTAATTTAAAGAATCTTTTATTCTATAATAAAACCTATTTCAGAATCTACAAACATTAATTTTAAAATCGAATTTAATTCTCGTTTTATAAAGAAAAGTAAAAGTAAAAAAAAATTATAATAGACTGGCACTCTCAACACGACACGCAAGAATGGCACAATTACACAGAAGACAAACACTTTGAGCCCTGAAGATGATCTCAATAAAGATCGAAATATTGGCACGATAAAGAAAACGTTTTTCTTAAACCTACATCACACCAGACCGCATCTCACGATTTCTGAATAATTATGTTTGTAAATTTTTCATCCTTTTTGTACACTGCGGAATTTTTTTTCGTCATTGACCATAAACGATCTTGTATGTTCTTTGTATCTGTCTTTTATGCTTTTATGTTTCGACTTGCCAGTCCTATTTTTGTCTTAGCATTCACATGTTATGACGTATATACCATATCTGTCCATTGGGTAGGCTTTGACATTTTTTGTCGTATCGTTAGAAGTTTTCTGATGATTTTCGCGGTTTTCCATGAAGGTTTATTCGTTAAATAGATACGTTCGTTTGTACTTTTTACCCTATTTATGTGAATGTGGTCCATTTAGCGTCTGTTTTTGTGTTGCCCTTTTTGTTTCTGCTGTTTTGCTTATTATTTTCTTGATTGTTGTTGTGTTGTAGCCGTTATTACGTCCAAAGGTTGTTATTCTTTTAAGCTTTTTTCGTCATTATCACTAAACGAACTTATATGTTCTTTGTATCTCTTTCATGTTTCGATTTTTCGGTCCGATTATTTGTGTTAGCATTCTCATGTTATGACGTATATACCATTTTTGTACAGTGGATAGTCTTTGACATTTTTGTTCATATTGTTAGAAGTTTTATGACGATTTTCCTGATTTTCGTGGTTTTCAGTGAGGTTTTAAATCGTTATTGTTAAACATACACGTTAGGTAGTTCGCTTTTCCCATATGTATGTGAATTTCGGTCATTTAGTGTCTGTTTTATGTGGTGTCATTTTGTTAATTATTTTATTGCTCGTTAATGTGTTGTACCAGTTACTGCGTCAAAGGTTGTTATGGTTTTAGTGATTTATTTTATTATTTTAATTTTTTTATATTTTTTTTGCAGGGCATCCGACAGCTAGGTCATTTCAGCCCTGAGCGGAAGTAAAATATTACAGCACACATTCAATACGCATTCACCCAAATAAATTCATTCACACTAGTCACTATTCCTCCATCAACCTGCGTATAATAGCACACTAATGGAGTACTTTTATAAATATTACGCCATCGACTCACGTCACGTACACAGCTTGAGGGGCGATGGGAATATTACCATTCAGCCCCTCCCCATTCTCTCTAATAAATACATTTACTCATACAAAACTCAGAAACACAAAACACATATTTTGATATATATACAATAAAATAATTCCCAATTCCTCTAAAAAGTGGAACAGAGGACCCTGAAACTCGCTGTCCGAGAAACATCCTTAAATCCGGTGGCATACCTACACGCTCTCTGTATGGAGCCAAGGCCTTTCTTATGTGGGACACATTGAGCAACCTTTCTCCGCATAAAGCCAGAATTGTAGACGCACGCATAACACTTACCCGATGCTACCCGACGCAAATCAAAACTCCGATTTTCCATAAGGTTGCATTATCCCCCGTGCACATCTACCCGATGCTATGCCACGCTAACCTACCCGACGCTCTGCGATCCCCACTGTCCATATTTTCGTCGGGTCGCATCGAGTACAGTCGAAAACCAAAGAACCGGACACTCATATTTTTATTCAAAGTGCATGTATTATTGTCGTTATATTAATTACAACATACTAATTTTAATATAAACCACATTAACTGTGATTAAAAATTAATTAATTTTTATTTAAAAAATTAATTTTAATGGTTTGGTAGAAAAATAATCAAAACAGCGGAATACGATTTTTTGATATAATGAATTTAACTAACAATTTATTGTACTCGCTTCGGCAGTACATATACTAAAATTGGAACAATTTATTACACGGTTTTGCACATAAAATTTAATTAACAATTTATTTCATAGTTTTGCTCGTAAAATTGCACCATTTTGTAATGTCGGGTAGCACCAGAACAGGACACCCATATTTTTTGCAGCTTATTTCAAACTAAGTACATGTAATTTTGTCGTAATATTAATTACAACATGTTATTTTAATGTAAACCAATTTGAACGAGATAAAAAATGCATAAGTTTTTATAAACATTGTTTAATTATGATGGTTAGGAGTAACTTCGTTTAAAACAATTAAGTTTAACAAACAATTTATTAGATGGTTGTGCTCATAAAATTTAACTAACAATTTATTACATGGTTGTGCTCATAAAATTTAACTAACAATTTATTACATGGTTGTGCTCATAAAATTTAACTAACAATTTATTACAAGGCTTTGCACCAAATAGTGCATTAAGAACAAAAGATACGTTGCGATTGTGATAGTGATTATTGTGATAAACGCGTGGACTGTACGCGACGTATGCTTGCGTCGGATAGATGTGCACACCCCACCAAAACGTGGCAAGGCGTCGGGTAGCATCGGGTAAGTGTGTTCCTCGCTTAAGGGGGTCCTGCGCGGGCTTTGGCCCAAAAGCAAATGCCCGTGTGTCAGCCGCATTTATTTATTTATCACCTTTGGTACTGTTTTTAGTTCAATCTCTATGTCATTTATTTTAGTGCTGCCATTTTGTGCTGGTAGGGTTCGAGTTGCCTTGTGTGGTGTAAACTGTCGCCGATTTCTGAATAGGTCGAGTTTGTTGTTAGTTTCAGTGGTAGTTAGGTCAAAGAAAAATATACTGTTACTTTCTATTTATGTCGTGATGGTCTGGAGTTAAGTCTGTCAGTATGATGTGTCGGTCGTTGGAGGTTTGTGTTGTTGATGTGTTTCAAGTATCTGTATAGTATGCAGTATGGTATGTTGTGTTTTGAAATAATTTCGAAGATTTCTCTTCATAGTTTTGTCAAATGCTTCAACGAGTATGACTGTACCCAATTTGTATGTGAATATATTTTATTATATGGTTGTATTTTCTCCTTTGAAGATCACTATACATAAATACACTTGAAAAACAATTGTAATAATGTCTCTGTAAATTCAGAGGAGTTAAGAATTATTAAATGAATTTGTTTGAAAGTATGGTAATTCGCATTTAACGGTATTATAGGATGTTTATTTTCAGTTCATTTTCAAACGTCGTCCACGTGTCTTTGGATCAACCAAAGCTGATAATAATTAATTATATATCACCAAAAAATGTTTCATTAAAATCAATGATTTCACCTCCTTGTTCTGCCCTTGGTTTTTTCTCCTGATAGATACCTTTTCTCACTGATAGATATTCTTGTGAATGTGTACCACTTCATTGGTCTGGTCCCTTCAGGTCCACAGATCTGTGTCTTGAATTGCCAAATACGTCAGGTACCTTCTGCTTTCATGTGTATAGTTGTAGGTTAATACATTTTATTTTCGTAGGGAAATTCACAATGCATCAATCAACTGTGGGGTTCAAGGCACAGGGTAGTTATGAGTAAATATTGTGTCGTTATCAGCCTTGGTTTTTAATTAATCACTCCGACACAAAGTCATTGAAAAAGCTTGGGGGTTATAAAAAACGACGAGAGATTTTGACGTTTTGTTTTAAAACAATTTCTTCGGTTCGTCACCACAAGAAACATTTCTTCTCCGGGTTCATGTTCGATCCCAGAGGACAACCAAAGTCCCTTGAGAAATACGGCTGGTTGGACAAAGCACCAATGACCCTGAATTCATCTGGCGAGTGGTCATCGTTCATTAAATCCCATGCCAGTTCCCTTTTTCTGAAAGAAAATAACGATATAATTTTATGTATATTTAAAAAAATTTCAATCGTCACCTGTTGTACGAACAGTAGAAGTTGGCAAAGCTGATCCAGAACAATTGCCGAGAAGTGTAATTTTTGAATCCCGGCAGCCTGGGTTCTTCGCAGTGTTCACCGACCCAAGAAAGGTATGCCCGGTAGGCGTAGTTGAGGCCCGCGTTGTCCGCGATATTTTCACTTTTCGTTTTCTCTCCGTCAACCTTAAAACAAAATTTTGTGAATTAATATTCGAAATGATTAGGCTCATAATGTTTACGGTCTTGTTGATCTGCTTGACGGTGTAGCTGTTGTATTGTTCGACGAAACACTGAACTTTGTCGGTGAAAGTGCACATCGTGCTGTCCTCCCACCAATCGACAACTAATCCCTCGTTGTCTATGTTAACTCCCTAAATAATAGGAAAAATCTGAATGAACAATAAAATAAAATAAATAAAAACGCATACTGACAACGTCGTCGAGTCCATGGAAAATCTCGTGGCCGACGATATAGCCGATAGTGGCGTAGTTCATGTAGGCGAAGACGTTTTTGGTCATAACGAAGCCTTGAAGAAACGGTGGACAAATCACTGAAATATATATATATTTATCATTGCCTCCAACCAATAAGGGTCATTTATGCTGGAACAATTTTAAATTTAAAAATTAGAAAATTGGTAAAATTGGGGTAAGACTTACGGAAAACATTTCTGTTCTTCATGTGATATGCATTAGCGCTGACTTCATAAGCAACCTCATACCATGCCCCTCTCTGGAAAGGAGTTCTGAATTTTTTGCTCCATTTTCCTTTCCAGAAAACTTCAAGGGAGAGATACGCTTCGTAAAAAGAAGCATTTGACTTCATTGTCCACTATTGAAATTAAAAAGCAGTTGATTAACAATTGAGAAACAGTAAGATGTAAGATGGATCGACCTTGTGGGTTCATGTGTTTAACTATCAGGTATATACAGTAAAAATCGTTTAAATGAACTCGGTTGTAAAAACAAATCGATTGTAAGAACGAAATTTCTAGTTTCCGGCCAGCTTTAATGCAACTTAATGTATAAAATATCTGGTTATAAGAACATCGTTAGTAAGAACATATCGCTTTTAGTAACCTAAAGTTATGTATTTCTGAGAAAACAAACCTTTTGTATGAACTTCATGAGAAAATAACAGCACACAACAGAAAATAAACACTTCAAAACTGGGCTCAAGATTTGCCCGTTGAAATCAGTTTGCTTCAAGGATGTGAAGACGTAGACTTGAGTCTTACTACTTATGGAATCATCACAGATGAAGAAATTGTTGCAGGGGTCAAAGCAGAAGAAAATGATTTAGAAGAAGACAATGCCATAACAGATAATTCAAGCGAATTTTCGTACACCACTTTGAAGGAAATGTTCTCAGCTATAAATGTGGTAAATAAATTTTTAACATGTAATGACAATTTTGCAGAGGAATCTATGAAAATGACAGTGAAAGAACTTGTCACCATTACAGAAAATGCTTTTTACATTCATAAAAAAATAAACAAACCAATATTACAGACTATTTTTCAGTTTTGCAGTAAATAAAATTTTTGTGATCTTTTTGTTTTTTATCTTAAAACCTAAACAATGATATTTAACCAGGGCTTGAAATTCGCAAACGTTTTTTTTTTTGCATCGCCGTTTGAGCATCCGCCATTTTTTTTCTTTTTTTCTCTCTCTCCTTCGCAGCATGCAGAAGCCCGAAGGGGCAGGCAAGGCGCAGCCGGAAGGCGGGAGAATGCCCAAGCCTGCCTAAGGGGACCAGCACTCATACTTATTTATTTCTTTTTAGGGCCTATATACGGTTTCCATTTTCGGGGATGTGGATAAAAACCATTTACAACACCATGGAAAAGACCACATCCTTGGCAAAACCACCCGACCCCACAGTCCAGCACCACCCAAACCTACCCGTCCCCGGGCCACCCCACGCCACGAACGAGTCAAACTAATTTTTTATTCGTTCCCGCCGAATGTACTACATGTTGTCAAATATGTATATTGTTCTTATTTATAAAGGCTACGAGTGCATCGAGAACCGGGATGTTTCTTGTGTCTGAGAGTACGATATCCATTTTTGTTGGGAATTTTACTCCATTTTTTTAGTTCAGAGAACAAAACCTCCCTGTCGATCGTGTTTCTTTTGCATGCCAGGATCACGTGGTTTGAGTCGGCAATGGTCCTCGCTTCGCATCCACAACCGGCGCTGTCCACAATACCAATTTTGGCAAGGTGGTATGGTAATTGGTTATGATTAGACCGTAACCTGAATATCGTCGTGAAGAACTTTCTTGGTCTATTCACTTTAAGGTACCAGGGTTTATGTTGGATGCTAGGCTGTATATTAGCGTAGTACTGGCCTTTCGTTGTTTTGGACTCGTTATACTGTTTCTGCCATTTCCTCCTTGCAATTTGTTTCAGGTGAGCCGTGATATCACATGGGACGATAATGTTGTAAGGGACCCCATTCTGTGCAGCGTCTTTTGCGAGTAAGTCTACTTCGTTGTTGTGCCTATTTACATGATGCGCTTTGACCCAGATGAAGTGGAGGTCAACCCTTTTTTATTTATTTTCTCAATCATATCCAGCATTTCATCTATTAGGGGATTCTGTTGGCGAGTCGCATATTTTATGGCCGTTAGCACGCTAAGGCTGTCGGAGATTATGACAGTTTCTTGGTCTGGTAGTGTTTGAATATATCTCAACGCTTCAAGTATAGCCATACTCTCGGCTGTGTATATTGAAGCTATATTGGGGAGCTTAACTTTTTTAACTTGTTAGTAAATGGGATTGCTAATTTCAACCCCTTAAAAGTAGTTCCAGAGGAATGACTGAAAGAGCCTTGAACTTTCAAAAGATTGATCAATAATTAACCAGAAAAAATTGATTATCGGATATAGCAACTATCGGGCTTAAGAAACAAGTCCAGACGTTCCCTTTGATGTTCTTATAAACGATTTTTACTGTATGTTTGTACAATAAACGAAATATTGGCATGAGGTTGGAGTTATTCTAATTCTGTCCTAATACTTGATAATTTCACACAATTAAAAAACAGTTTACTTCAATTTCAAATACCTGTTTATGATATTCGATTAACTTATTCACATCGAACAGATCATCGTTATAGCCGATGTAGGGCAGGATGTCTTCAATTTTTTTCAAAGCTGCATCTCTAATATACGATACAATAATAATCAAATTTAGTTTCACAGTTTTGTTGAACTGGTTTTTACGAAAAGTTTACTTTGTATCATCGTCCATCCATTCGAGGTCCTTGATGCCTGAATAGATCTCTTTTTTCATCCTGCCGACCAAATCTACCACCTCCCATTTGGTCGAGTTATCCACGTACCGTTGTACGTACATGTAGTAGACGATCAGCCGTGCGCTTTTGCTTACCAATTCGACACATTCCGCCCACCTGCCTTTGAGATTTTCCCCAGAAAATTCATGGTGGAGATCCCTAAATTGTTTAGGGAGGAAAGTGGTCGCCATTAGAGTCGCTCGCCAAACTAGATAATTCGCGACAACCCTTAAAAAAAAGAAAGAAAATGCATGACATGGATTAATCGTAAGTGGGCTACATTTGCACCGACCTCTTTGGTGTTGTCTGCATAATTTTCTCCAGACCATTCAAATATTTGGGCACGAAAACCGTAACGCGGTCTTCATCCGAGACATATTCTTTTAAAATATTCGAAACGTACGCCTTCAGCGGGATAGACGGGAATTCCTTCTTTAAACTGCCGAACTTAGTTTCGACTTTTTCTATATCGTGGGAAAGCTGGACAATCCAATTAATTTTTCTCATTTTGTCACATTTGGATGAATCTACATTACCTTGGCTAGCTCGATCTCGAAATTCAAGGAGTGCAGGAGCTCTTGCCGGGCTCGTGTCCGGTTGCCGTTGAGGAGGACGGCGACGTCCACCATGTAGTTGTAGTATTTTTCCACCGTGGTATCGTTTAGTCCTTTTAACAGGGTATCTTGGCTGAGTCCCAATACCGCCGGATTGATTGTGATGGTAAATACTGTAGAACTAGTGTTCACGGTTTGGAATTCCAGGTTGATCAGGTAGTTTACATCGATGCCTATTTCCCTAAATTTATAAATCGTGTCCAGCCATGACCAGGAGCCGTTGGCGTCCCACTCGTCTTCCAGGACCGGCCAACCACCGACTTCCTTAAACACTTTTAGGAGCGGTTCGTAGCCGTCTCTCTCTATCTTTCCTGTTCAACAAATAAATTATTCATTTTATGTTTTTTCACAGTTTCATACTTGTTTCGTTTACTCTCGTCCATGCAGAGATTGTAATATCGCTTGGCGAGGCGGACCGGCTCGATCTCACCTGGGGTCGACCTCTCTTTCAACATGTCTCTTATCTGGAATCCGACGTTCTTGTCCAGTGTGACGAATACGTCGACTCGTTCGTTGTTAGGACTACCGTTTTTCAAAAACCGGCCGCAGGCGTACTGGTAAAAGTTATCGCAGGGATCTACGCTTCTGTTAATACTGCTTAGCAAGTGGTAACCTTTTATTAAGATCGAGTATTAGCAACAAATCCATTATATTTAGTGGTCTGATTGACCAAATTACTTCTTTCAATTAATTAATCTTTTTATGAAAGGTTCGGTTGATATGAAAAAGTTAGTGTCACGAGCGGGACCCAGATCTTCGGCTCAGTACGCCGCTGCTCTACCACTTGAGCTATCGTGACTTCAATCCACTCGAACACCACTTCCCATCTCAACCTACAACCTTTCGAATTTTCCCTTCTTTTTGTCATTTTTCAAATGTCGTGTAATCAGGATTCGATTCTCGGCGACATATGAAGTGGATCGAAGTCATGATAGCTCAAGTGGTTGGAGCAGCGGCGTATTGAGCCGAAGGTCGTGAGTTCGAATCCCGCTCACTAACTTTTTCATTTCAACCAAACCTTACATAAAAACAACTAATTAAGGTTTCTAGTTGAGATAAAAAAGTCAATGGCACGAGCGGGATTCGAACCCACGATCTTCGGCTAGATACGCCGCTGCTCTACCACTTGAGCTATCGTGACCTCGATCCACTCGGTCGCCAACTTCCTATCTCAACCCCACCTTTTGAGTTTTCCTTCCTTTTTGCCATTTTTCAAATGTCGTGTAATCGGATTGGATTCTCGGCGACAAATGAAATGGCCACGGAGAGCTTTAGTGAAGTATACTTCATTTTAAACTTATTAAATTCACTAATTTCGTGGTCCGCTTGACCAATTAATATAATGGCAAAAAGGAGGGAAAACTCAAAAGGTGGGGTTGAGATAGGAAGTTGGTGTCCGAGTAGATCGAGGTCACGATAGCTCAAGTGGTAGAGCAGCGGCGTATCTAGTCGAAGAGCGTGGGTTCGAATCCCGCTCGTGCCATTGACTTTTTTATCTCAACTAAAAACCTTAATTAATTGTACTATATTAATTGGTCAAGCTGACCACGAAATTAGTGAACTTACATAAAAATATTAATTAATTGAAATTAGCAACAAAGTAGACAAATTCTGACAACTGACCTGCTATAACGCAGTCTTTATCCATGCACACGTCTTCGTTTTTCCTCGCTTCTGACGACTGGTTTAAATGCCAACCTGAAAAATTCCCTACTATTTGAAAATATTGTCGAGAAGGTACTTTTAAATACAAAGCCCAAAATATCCACTGCTGGTTATTTTCTTAGTCAAAGCAAAGCAAATTTGGTTATTGAATGATCACCTTTTTCCTCAGAAGCGATGACAGCCAAATCCCCGAGCCGCAACAACCAAATCAGTACTACGCAGCCTTCTTTTCTCCTCCACATATTTGAATATCTCTTTAATTTTCAATATGAAAGAGATAAAATATTAGATGTAAGAAAGAACGAATAGAATGAAACACTCGAGAAGTGCTCTGTTGAAGGCAAAAGACGACGAGTGACTGGCCCGACGGTCCACGTTCGTAACGTGCAATAATGCAAAAAGGACGCACCGCCCCCGCGTTTGTCAGTTAAGAAATTGTCGGCTGAAATTTAAAGAAAGTAGAAAAGCAGTTGCAAAGCTAAATTGCATCAATCAGTTTCAATTTAATGCGTAATAGTTGACCTATTCTAACACGTCGAGTAGAGCAGAAAAATCAACGTTAACTTGCCGTCACGTATTTCTACAGACTGTAATATTCGTATTCGCGTGTTTTCCCTTCAATTATTTGGATTCAAAAATTTCATCCACATAGCGAGTGGCCGTCAAAGACCCCCCCAAACAACGAACTCTGTGCGATTCTCCATTGAATTCCCGCCCACACCATCACTGAGCAACGTTGAAAAGGTTGGCTCTGGGGAAAATTACAAGCTTCGTACCTTTCATTTCGCCTTCTCCATATTCTTTCACGCCCATATGGAGATCGTAGAGCAAATCTACACTCATCAGTAAAAAGTACAGCAGAGACAATCGTCCAAAGATTAATGGCTGTGTTCTCGAGCAAATGCGAGCGTGCAACTAACTCTGTGTGTTCTGGTCCTCTTACTGGGCGAAAAGCTACCCGTCCATGCTGATTTAATTTTCTTCGAGCAGTGTGTTCAGAAATTTGGACTCTCGAACTTCCTGGAGCTGACGAATTGATTGAACAACAGTAAGGTTCCGGTTTTGAAAAATCCTCAAAGTCAAAAAACGGTCATCCTGTGGTTCTGTTACCCTAAGGCGTCCGGACCCTAGAACCGGGCCTTTTATGATAGGACTCAGTTTCTCGAAAACGTTTAACTGCGTCTCGCAGTGTTTCGTAAGGAATTCCGATGGCAATAGACGCATACCTGATGGAACGTCCATCATCAATAAGCGCCACACCACGCGCAACATCCTCAGCACTAAGTGGCATTTTTAAGTATACAAAATTGAAATTAAGAAAACAAAAATGAAAACTAAACACTTTATTGCTTCAGAATTCAAATGAGACTGAATAAACAGTTTAAAAATCCTTCATCCTTGTTTTGGATTAAGGATTAAGTGAGTTTACCTCTAATTGATATTCCCAATTTAAAACATAGCATAAACAAATATTTATTGGTAAAAACAATGAGACGAATTAAGGGCAGAATTTTCTTTTATCGAGAAAAAAGTCAATTGGGTGGAATTTTTTGTAAGTGTATCTCAAACAAGAGTATAATCAAAGTTGATCAATAATGGAATAAATTAAAAAAAGTACCTACAACAATACACAAGTTTTAAAACGCAACTTTAACCTAATAAAAAGCAGAACAAAAAAATTCAACATAAAAAAATCAAACAAAACACATAAAACACGGGCTATGCATGTTATTGTCTCTTCTTTATGTGTTTTGTTTGATTTTTATGTTGAATTTTTCTTTTATTGTGCTTTTGTATTAGGATAAAGTTGTGTTTAAAACTTCTCTATTATATTTTTATATTCAATTTTTTTTTATTTCATAAAAAATGAATAATTCAAGAGCTACGAGTAGATTGTCCATTAATAAATTTTTTTATGTGTTTGTTTGATTTTTACGTTGAATTTTTCTTTTATTGTGCTTTTGTATTAGGATAAAGTTGTGTTTAAAACTTCTCTATTATATTTTTATATTCATTTTTTTTTATTTCCTAAAAAATGAATAATTCAAGAGCTACGAGTAGATTGTCCATTAATAAATTTTTTCATGTGTTTGTTTGATTTTTACGTTGAATTTTTCTTACATTTTGCTTTTGTATTAAGACAAAGTTGTGTTTTAAAACTTCTCTATTATTTATTTAGAAATCGTGAGATGCGGTCTGGTGTGATGTAGGTTTCAGAAAAACATTTTGTTTATCGTGCCAACGTTTCGATCTTTATTGAGATCATCTTCAGGGCCTTGTGTTGCCTGCATTTCAGCAAAAAAGTTCTCTGATTGAGAGCCGATGCGAGTTTCTTCTCATTGTTGGCGATGTTCTTCACTCGCGTCGGCTCTCAATCAGAGAACTTTTTTGCTGAAATGCAGGCAACACAAGGCCCTGAAGATGATCTCAATAAAGATCGAAACGTTGGCACGATAAACAAAATGTTTTTCTGAAACCTACATCACACCAGACCGCATCTCACGATTTCTAAATAAGTACCGATTAACGGTCACTAATCACCACACCTTCTCTATTATATTTTTATTTTCAATGCTTTTTTTTGTTTCCTCAAAAATGAATAGTTCAAGAGCTACGAGTAGATTTATGACGAAAACCATAGATAGTTGAAAAAACATAAAATGTTGAGTATCAGCGAAAAGGTTGAGAATATGAACTTATATGTTGCATTTGAAGTATGAGGCCATTTGACCAACTTTGTCCTACAAGTAGCGAATCAACCTGTATTTTATTATTAATGTTATTATTATTATTAGTCTATTTTTCAATATTGTAAAAAGGTTGCCTATCCATTAATAAATGTTTTTGTGTTTTGTTTGATTTTTACGTTGAATTTTTCTTTTATTGTGCTTTTGAATTAGGATAAAGTTGTGTTTTAAAACTTCTCTATTATATTTTTATTTTCAATGCTTTTTTGTTATTTCCTCAAAAATGAATAGTTCAAGAGCTACGAGTAGATTTATGACGAAAACCGTAGATAGTTGGAAAAACATAAAATGTTGAGTATCAGCGAAAAGGTTGAGAATATGAACTTATATGTTGCATTTGAAGTATGAAGCCATCTAACCAACTTTGTCCTGCAAGTAGCGAATCAACCAGTATTTTAATATTAATGTTATTATTATTATTATTAGTCTATTTTCTCAATATTGTGAAAAGATTGCCTGTCCATTAATAAATTTGAATGTGAATAAATGCTGACCTTTTTGTATGCTTACAGCACCCACCACTCGAGGCTCTGCTACTGCTTGAATATGTCTATATTTTAAAGCATAAACTTCAGTTTTAATAACCAGCATTTACTATTTATTATCTAATGTCAATGCTATAGGAAAAAATGTATTTTTTATAAAATGTAGTCTTAGGAATTTACAATTAATTTGTTTTTCAATTTGTAAAATATCAACGATTTAGATAAAGTCATACACTATACAAAATGGATGAGGGCAAATCATGGATCAGCCTAACTCCCAAGTACAAAATACAACCAATTTTATTATATATTTTCATTTTATTATTTATATATTTTCCTTTTGTCAGTATTCAGCAGGGTGTAGAAATAATAAACAACGTAGACAGTAAAAAGTACCAGCTCCTTTTGCAACGGGTTGTCCAGGAAATGTTGATCAATCAGGACTCGTACAAACCGTTCACTGACGAGGAAGAAGAGAAACTCCTCGCAAGTTTGTCATTAGACAGGAAGGAGTTGGAACTTCTTATTTATACTTCTATAATTATATTGAATCAGGTAATGTCAGAAAAAAAATCCAGGAGTTTTAACTAAACTCGGTTTTATTCTAGGCTGTTTATAGTTTACCATCACCTGATATCCTTCACGCTGGCCTTATAAACTCGTTGAGACTGGACGAGGAAAAAGCTCTCGTTTTTGTTACCGTTCTTAAGACTAATTCGAAAAAATTGTACCTCAAGCTCAAACAAAAATCAATATACTCGAGAAAGGTCGATCTTTTTATTTTTGTATAATCAAAATGTTACTAAAAGATGGACTGATTTCAGCTAGAAGATGTGAGCTGGCTTGTGAACATAGAAATTGCTTCGCACAATGAAAAAGAGAAATTTACACCGAAAGCAATCTTACAGTTTAAACTCAAAGATCCTCAAGGCCCGTCGAGCATAACAGTCGATGCTAATGAAACTAGTCTCATGGAACTTTTTAAATCTCTGGAGCAAATTCAGGAATCATTGGATGCTCTAGCATAACATGAATTGTAAAGTGTACCCTGTATTTTTATCTTTTTGAAATGAAAATAATATAAAATAATTAATTGTTAAGTAATGAAATATATTTTGCTAAAACTAAATGCAATGTTAATTATAAACTTTACCCTATATGACCATGAAAAATAGTAAAAAGATTTATATTGTATAATCTGAGGTAGAGTGGTCTTAAAACGAGCTTAATTGAATAAATGCTCTAGTTTAAGTGATGTCTCTGGTCTTCAAGGGAAGGAGGATCATCCTTTTTAAAAAGATAGTTCCTACTCCCAGTAAGTTGTTTTGCAACAAACCGGATTTTGAGCCCTTAGCTCATCATCAGGTTGAAATCCGGATTGTTGCAAAACAACTTACTGTGAGTAGGAACTATCTTTTTAAAAAGGATTGAACACCGCACTCACTCCACCATTCATTTCTATAAGGAGGAACATTGTTGGACTGGGTTTTAGGCTGTCTTCTGATGAAAACTTAACCTCCTTTTCAGATTTTGTCTCCTCTCTGTCAATAGAGGCCTGCCTGTCTTACACATTGGCTCAACTAGGATTGGTATCACTTTGGGAGGGATCAGGGTCCTTGCTCACGAGGCAGTGTCTGTGATCATGAATTGCAGGTCCTTGCTGACTTGGTCGCGTACCTGACCTCAGCAAACTCACTTAGAGAACCTTGGGTGTAAACGTGGACGAAGGCATTTTTTTTTTTTTAACAATGGATACCAGGAACTGGAGGAGTTCCCTCCTGAGCACTGCACCTGTACAGTTATTGTACTTTATCCCTGGCTCCATTTTTGGGGGCTCACAACACAAGTGTGAATTTGAGCCCCCGGTGTTCTTCCATTGAAGAAACTCATTTTTGAAGTGGGTTGGGACCAAATTCAGGGTCACTGAGATTCTATCCCGCTCTAGACCTTCCATTGATGACTGCCGTGTCAATTTCTTTAAATTGCGGTTACTGGTCCTCTTAGTTTAGGCGTCAGAACAAAAAGTGCAGAGGTGTTGGTGGGGATCGAACCCACGACCGCAGGATCTACTAACCGAGAGTCTGACGCCTTAACCACTCGGCTACCACGGCCCCCTTGGACGAGGGCATTGCTGGCCAGGCCTTGAATGAAATATAATTATTTATTAGGATTTCCTGTCCCAATTTTTAGAGATAAATGGGTGGTTACTTTATAGATATGTCACCTTGTGTTTCTTAGTGTACATTGAAAGTGAATGTACTTATTAGTGTGAATGCATCATGTAAGATTAAATGCCCCTTAGACCCTCAATTAAATTAGTTCTGTAATATGTGATGGAGGAATAACACCATAATTGAGTGAAAGTGTAGGTAAACAGGAAAGAATATATTTAAAAGTGAGTGGAGTTAGAGTTAAAAACTGATAGCTGAAATGACCTAGTTACTGACAGCTGCTGGGACTTAAGTTCAGCAGTGGGTCAGATAGGTTGAACCCTACATTGCCAAAAGCATGTGCATATGTATACATTTGTACACTAGTGGTAACTATAAAGATAAAGTGGATAAATAAAAGGGAAATCACATATAATAAAACTGTATTTTACAATTTTTATATACAAGTTTGTTATTTTACAATATTTGGTTAAAAAATCAATAACCAATTTTTCAAATTTTGTTTGCTCTGTCAAAACAAACTAATTTGTTAATGTTAAGCAATATTCACAACAAAATTCTGCTGTGCAGATTGAGAAGGCGCTATTGCAGGTAATGGCGTTTGTTGAACTTCGTTTGATGTAGATGCCGACAAGAACATTTTAATGACACCGCTAAGGCCGAGCATTTCTCTTGTGAGGGCCTCTTCTTCTTTTATTCTGGAGTGAAGCCTCTTGAATAATTCTATAACCTCGGGCGAAAGATTTTCTAGCTTCTCTTCAAATACATCTAAACAGAAATATATACGTTTGTCTTTTCTTCTTATTTTTAATTTTATTAAATTGAGAGTGGAACATTTTTGTACCTAAGATGACATTAAAAACATCAATCAGAACACGGAAGAATCTGTAATCGCCTAAATATTTCAAAAGGAAGCGAAGTACCACTAATAGAGACTTTCCTTCCTTCCCTGCTATAGCACTGTGAAGACCTTTCCTCCTGAAATTTTAAATTTTAAGTCAAAACCTCTATTATAAAAAATATCTTTTAACCATGTACCTTATCAATTCTTGAAAGACAGATACTGTGATATGTGGATTTTTGTGGACGACAAAAGGCACAAGAACAGAATCAAGGGCCTTGCTATACTGAAATTTTCTAAGGAAAGCGTCATGTTTGGATTGTCCGTATTTTTTATCTAAAGGTACAACACTGTCTACATTGACTGCAGTTGTACTCTTGTCAGCAGCATATCGATACGATTTTCTTCCTTCTTTTTTCCTCCTTTCTAAAGGTTCTGTGTTATTTATTTCTTTTCTTTGAACAGAAACGATACCGTCAACAGTCCCAACAGCAAGTACCTCGTCATTCGCCTTAAAGAAATATAATTAATGTTTCGTCTCGATATTAATTTTTTTAACACTTACGCTGACTCCGAGACTGAGTATAGCATTAGAATAGTCAAGATTGTGGACTACTTTGTAAGTTGAAACATCATATATTTTCACATGCCTGTCCAACGAGCCGGAGAGAAGTCTTGTATTGTTGGAGGCAAGGCATAAACTGGTGATTGTCTTATGATGCTGGGAGACACGAGCAAGAAGACGACCGCCAGCAAGTGCATCCCAAACTCTTAACTCAGTTCCCCCTAGCAAATAAATTAAAATTGAGAAATATTGTTCTTAATTGAATATAATGTGCCAGTTACTTTATTTTTTTTTGGCTATTCTATTGAAAATTATGGGTGCTGTCTGTTTTTTACCGGAATATTCATTGTTGTCTTTAGTTTAATCTATTGCAAGAAAATTAGGAACAGGGAGATTTCCTTCCAAGGGGGCTTTGAAATTATAATAATTTCTTATATGTAGCTAATTAGCCTGTCTATTTCTTTATTTTATAAATTTTATTTTATTTATACGCACATCGCACTCATTTTCATGTAATCCTACCCTCGCTCGACCCCTCCTTGGTTTTGCCTTGGAATTCTATTCCAAAGTATAATAGTTTATACAAATTGAATTGTTTTCTACTAATTTACAATATGCAGTTTAATTTATATGCCACATTCTTGGAAGAAGTAGGACGTGTGTAGGCGTACTTGCTCATCTTTTCTTTTTCGAACAATTAGCTATTTTATATTCCTATCTGTGATCATTAAGCAGTTATTTGTGTTTAATTCATGATGGCCTGTTGTAAAAAAGAGATCGAGAGGATTGATCAATAACTCATAATAAAACTGTTGGCACAATATTATGAATCCATTCCTCAGGTCAGGAAATTAATTTAATAAGAGTGCTTTCTTAAAAAGTGTATATCACTGACTTCTTCAATGATTAAGTGATTTTGACTTCTGCAAGTACCCACAGTCGACCCTTGATAATTAAGGGTACGTAAGGGGCCACAAAAATAATTGGAATTATCGAGGAAAGAAAAAAATTGTTAAGGGTTGATATCTATTTTTTCAAGTTATTACTTAATTGTACATGTACAAAACAAAGTAAAGATAATGAAAAAGTGGAGATAGATCTACTGTAAAATTGAACATTGAAAAAAAAAGTGAAGTGGTTTTTATGTCAATGTGGCCGGCATCCTTTGATTAAATGATTTTCCGAAGTGACCAGTGCTGAGAACGCATTGACAAAACACTGACTGCAGAACAAAACAAACTAGAGAAAATTCAAAGAAACTTTAGCCTGTAAAGAAGTGAACAATACATGGAAATTTAGAGGAATATAACAAAGAAAAAGTGCAAATTATGAAGATGGGAAGAGGCACCATTTCGATTAATGGCATGCTTTTTCTCCCCGTTACAAAACATTTTTCGTACCGAGTGTATCAAAACGCACAGATTTTTTTCGATTTACCGAAGTCACCTGCTGAGGAGTTCGTATTATCAAGAAATTCGAATTACCAAATTTCCAATTAACAAGAGTCAACTGTACTATATAAATTGATACCTGTGATGAAATAACATATGTTAAAAGAAAAATTCCCCTTTGATCTCTCAGGTTTCCCTTACTCCATTGAATTTTATCCATGCCCAATAGTAACAGATTAAGCAGCGACCTCCGTATAAATCTTTTAATTAGATTATTTATGAACAACATTAACTTTCAAGAATAGAAATAATTCATTATATTCACTATTTTTCGTGGTCCGCTTGACCAATTAATATCATTCAATTATTTAAGGTTTTAAGTTGAGATAAAAAAGTCAGTGTCACGAGCGGGATTCGAACCCACGACCCTCGGCTTGATAACTAACTTCCCATCTCAACCCCACCTTTTTGAATTTTCCTTCCTTTTTGCCATTTTTCAATTCATTGGAAATAATAAATAAACATTATGTTTCTGGCTAGCTAAAAAGCAAGCCAAAATCAGCCAATATTAATATTAAAAAAAAAAAAAAAAAAAAAAAAAAAAAAAAAAAAAAAAAAAAAAAAAAAAAAAATGTAATCACCAGCAGAAATAAATATTCCACCAGAAGGCAAGAATATTACACTTTCAACAGGATACCCGTGATCTACAGTAAAAACTGGTTCACTTTTTGTCCTAGTGTCGAACATCCTCAATTTTTTATCATAAGAACCGGACAATAAGACAGTTGGTGATACGGGCGAAACCGCACCGGCACGGACATAATCCTGTAACAAAATGTAAAGTTGAGGTTAACAGTTTTTATGTTAAATTTGCTGATAATTACATCGTGAGCATCACACTGGAAAATCTGCTCCTCACATGGGATGTCCCAAACCCTGACAGTTTTATCATCGGAGAAACTTACAATGTGGGTCCGATCAGAGGTAAAATTACACCTTCTCACAGCTCTACAAAGGATATTTTCTTCTTATTTAAAAAAAAAATTATAATTTAAAAGATTTCTTACGCTGTATGGCCTCTGAATATCCTTAGTAACGATTTGGAATGGACATCAAAGAGTTTAACAAGCTGTTCTTCACTTCCTGCACACAAAAGCTGCCCATCGGATCTGAACTTTCCACCATAAGCATTCTCCCTGAAACGGCTCAAGTTTTTATGCACCAATTTTGTGATCGGATTGTAGATTTGAACCTGTAAAATATTTCACAAAGCTATATAGGTTTTCAACCACTAAAAAATACTAAGTGATTTAAAAGTCTGTGTATTTTTTGTTTGTTTATTGATAAGTAAAGGTTCGTAAACAAATATCTCTGGCGTTTACATTTATTGTATTATTCCTAAAAGATTAAAGGTAAGTGAACACAAGCAATTTTTTCCTAAGAAATTTAAAAATAGACCGATAAAAAATCGCCTCAGGAACACAATTGAATTACTCCCAGTTTAATGGAGCTGAACAAAATTAAGTGGATTCTTGCTCTTATATTAAATTACAGCTGAAATAATAGATCGACCAAAATAGGACAAATATATAATAAAACAAACTATGTCCCTACTTCTGTTAAATTAAGCCAGGAGCATAGACGATTAGAAAAACTTAAAAAAGGCAAAGTTTCTCTACTGGTTTTAAAAACAGATGTATCAATAAGAGATCGATTTTTAATATTATCTACGTTAGAAGTTAATAGGGCAATTGTTATATAGTTGCCACTGTCGGTTTTTTTTTTTTAACTTCTAATTTATTAATTAATTTTCCTGAATTGGTTTTTACAAATTTCCATAGATTTTTTTAAATTGGGGACACAACCAAGGATCATGATTGCCCTAATAGCTTCATCATAAGTGGCATGCAGAGCAGACGGATGGCCAAAGACACCCAAGCACCCCGGGAGTGGCAGGAGATGTTTTCCCATAACCGAGCTTGGAGGATTACTCCTGCAGGAGTTAACATTACATAACGAACCGATGCCACCATCCGCATAAAGACTAGTACATACTCTGTTAGAGGGGTGATGGTGACGCTAAATTTCACCATCACTCCTCACCACTCACACTAATAAATACATGTATTAAAACAAAACACTTAGAATATAACTTCATACAGTAAAATACCCCACGTCCTCTAAAAAATGGAGGCCCAGTAACCAACTGCTGTGCTCAAGAACCATTCTTAAACCTACATGCTCTCTGTATGGAGCCAAGGCATGACACGCCTCTATTATGTGGGACATATCGAGTAACCATTCTCTGCGGAGTACCTGCGCAGACTTTAGCCCAAAACCAGGTGTCTGTGTGTCACAAATATGTTTAAAAAATAAAATGATAAAAACCAGACTTTTGAATCTCCCTAGTTATAACTTACCCTAGCAGAACAGGTCACAGCAAAATAGTACGGCTCTACAGGTGAGAAATCTATGCTGTTTATTGGGCCGAATTCTTTCAAATGAACTGGCACCTGTAATTTAAAAAATAAACACGTAATTTATATTTTAAACGGTAAAGATTATACATACACCGAGTTGTTTCCAGTAAACAGTATCTGGAGTGACTTTCTGAGACGGTTTGGCGAAGATTTTCACGTTAGTCTTTTTAAAATGAGTCATTTTTGTAATTATAACTTTCAATTCATCGAGTGAAGATGCTAACTGACAGTAAACCTCATAATCATAAATATACGCTATAGATGCTTTGGAACGAAGGTTACTCAGAGCGGTTCAGGACACGTGCTTGTCAAATCTTAGCTTTCGCCTTTCAGAGAGCGCTGAGGCCAAGTAATTTATCACTGACAGCATTGGTCTTCAAATTTTCTCTTAATTATCTCCCACAATGCATAATTAAATGTTATACTATTTAAAAAAAATCAACTTTTGTGCACATAAAGTTATTGATCATTTTCAATCTATTTTAGTTGTGTTTTGGTCTTAATTTTCTAATAACCTCCAGGATCTCTTTGCAGGAAATGTTTTGATTATTTTGTTTGTTTATATTTTCTTCGAGTCTGGTTTGATACTGTTAGAGATGTCCTGCTCTTACGCAGAAGGGCTCTCGCCCTACGAGAACAAAGGGAAGCTCGGCCTCAAAGAAGTGTGTATCTTGTAATAATTATATCTGAATTTATTCAACACATTGGTACAGCTTATTTAAATTTTATACAAATTGAAAAAAAGTTATTCTATTTTCAGGACTTTTATTATTCTAATGCCTTCAATTTAGAAAAATATCTTGTGTGGCTGAAGTTCATAAATTTATTTATATAATAGATTGACTGAAGCTATGGATGGGATTAGTATGTTATTTTGTTTGGCATTGATAAAAAAGTTTTTTGGCCATAGGAGAAACATTTCGTCAAAAGGTGCAGACTTTCCGAAGCTGGCCTACACTTGATATGACCTGCATCTGGTCTGCCTGTCAAATCTAAGCTTTCGCCTTTCAGAGAGCGCTGAGGCCAAACGATTTATCACTGACAACATTGGTCTTGAAATTTTCTCTTAATTATCTCCCACAATGCATCATTAAATGCTATATTATTATTATTTTCAAAAAATCAATTTTTGATACATAAAAACTAAAACAGGTGAAAAGCCAGCACATTGCTTGTCAGACCTGATGTCGTTCTAGAACGATACAAGGATGGATAAAATTTCACAAAACCAACACATTAATTAAACCATACGTGATTGAGGTAAAATCTTGCTTTATATGCGATATGAGTTCTGGAACTCAGGAATGGTATCATCCTGGGATATTCTAATTACGAACAAGCTATGAGGTGGAGGTGTTTACAAGCATATAAATTGGTTTATGTTGGTGGTTATTTGTTTAATGGTGTTTTCTGACCTATCTCATTTTTTTCTTACTGTAGGGAGGTTGAAAATTATTTTTCTACATGCAGTATATTCCAGTAGGTATGTTGTTCTAATCTTATGATGTGTGCTTAATTTTTTTGTATTTTTTTTTTTTGTATTGTGTAGGTAACCTTAGCTTAAAACCGCTACAATCTTTGATTTTTCATATGCTCACGCACTAGGTGACTTTAGCTTGTCGCTTGAATACCACGTAGAGGAATTAATGGTATCAATTTTCTGGTGGTACTCTAGGCTTGTTGTAGAAAAGAAGGTTTATATCGAAATTATGCAGTGCATAGTGTGATGATTCTGTAATCTGCCATCTATATATAGAATTTAAGACAAAGCTGGGTTAAATTTAAAAAAAAATATGCATTACTTGTCATTAAAGACATTACTGTTATGTTATTTTACATTAAATAATCTTAATGAATGAAGAAAAAATGAATAATGATATATTTGTTAATAATTTTGATGGGATTTCAATTTGATGGTGAAATTTGCAGATATTTGACACTGAAGATGTAGTTGCTGAAAAAGTGAAGGAGCTGGCAAGTTGGATTGAAAATGCTAAACATGTCGTCGTCCATACAGGGGCGGGAATCAGCACATCAGCAGGCATACCGGATTTTAGGTAAGCTATTATTTCTCCAAATTTTTATTTATTTACAATAAATTCCAATTTTAGAGGTCCAAATGGTGTCTGGACACTGGAGGAAAAAGGAGAAAAGCCCACATTAAATATTTCTTTTGACGATGCTGTACCAACAAAGACTCACATGGCATTACTCAAACTTTTTCAAGAAGGTAAATATTAGGATAAACACAAAATTTTGTGTATAATGAAATGAATTTTCTTAGGTAAAATACATTATATAATCAGCCAAAATATAGATGGTCTACATTTAAAATCTGGACTTAGTAGAAAATATTTAGCTGAACTTCATGGTAACATGTTTGTCGAAGAGTGTGGTACATGCAAGAGGTAGTTTAATAAAATGAGCAAAATAAAAAGGCAAAAAATGTTAATAACAATTAATGAAAATTTTCAGACAATTTGTTCTTAAATCTGCTACAACATCAGTCGGTAAGAAAAATTTAAATCGACCCTGTTTGTCCACAAAGGTCAACGGGAGGCGATGTAGAGGGAAAACGTATGACACCATTCTTGATTGGGAGCACAACCTCCCAGAAAAAGATTTGGAAATGGCAGATTACCATTCTTGGTATTTAGATTTTTGTTTCCATTTTAAATTTTGGGAGTAAATGATTTAATGCAGAGTGCAGTGTTGCAGATTTGTCTATTTGTCTTGGGACAACTCTTCAGATTGTACCTAGTGGGAATTTGCCATTAAGTTGTAAAAAGCAAAATGGGAAATTAGTCATTTGTAATTTACAACCTACAAAACATGTAAATGTTATTTTTTTGTTACAAAAAATATATTTCCTTTTATAGCTTTGTTGACAATAAAATACACAAAAACTTATTTCAGGACAAGAAAGCAGATATGATAATTCATACGTATGTAGATCAAATAATGGAGAAGCTTCTCGATCATTTTGGTTTAGAAATTCCCGAATATAAATTGAGTCAAGACCCGACAAAATCAGAGGATGTCATCGAATGGACTGTACCAACGGATGAGTTAGCAAAAATGAAGAAAATCTATAAAGAAAAGTTTCCCTCCATCAAGAGGAAAAATGAAAACGGGGAATCCTCAAAAAAGCGGCGGAGATCTATTAATGCCAAGAAAGAGGAAGTTGACCATATTGAAACGGAGTCAAAATATGATAAAAATTTACATGGCCTAGAAGAAGAACAAGACTGTAAAATAAAAACTGAGCCTAAAATTGAAAGTGAAGTAAAAGAAGAGAATGAAGAGTCACTCACTGATGAAAAAATAGTACAAAACAGTAGGCAAGATGTTGAATTAGGCATAAAATTAGAAAATGATTGTGAACCAAAGGTACAAAATGTGTCAGATATTTTCACCCGACCTTCAGTAAGTGTCAATTGAAAACATTTTAACTTACATTTTAATATAATTTATTTGTTTAATTAAAAAAAACCCATTAATTTCAGTTAAAAAATCACACATTTTAGTTTGTACATATGATTCTTTTAATAAAAAAATAATTAATTAATTAAAAAACAACTTTACTATTTTGAAAGTTGTGAAATTTTTCTGTCCTGTGAGGTGATGAAACTGTAATTTGGTTTGTTCGGTCAGACATTTTCAGCATTTCGCCATCTTCAGTGTTCTATCATAACACTGTGAAATGCCAAAATGTGTCTTGACAGATCAACCCAGTGAGGATAAGCAGAACAAAATGATCAGTAAAGATAAAATTACACTTTCTGTAATAGTTATTAAAAGAATTAGTCATATTGCAGTAATCTTTACCCAGAAATGTTCTAAGTTTTGAGACACCATTAATATAAAGAGTGAGATTTCATGTAATGTAGTTTTATGTGCCCATACACAAAACATCACTGGAAAAACTTATTTGCTTTGCATCAGGTGAACATATTTAGCCATAAAATATATCAAATTTTAACCAAACCCATGTATTAAAAGTAATGTGTTTATTACAGTATAAATAGTTTAATAGTGTAAATGATGTAAATGCCATTCAGAATAATAGACTTTTCAAAATAGTTGTCCAACACAACTAATATAAAAATAAATAAATAAAAGAAACTATGTTGTTTTACTTTTTAAAAAACCACATCCTATCCATTATTTCAAGATTTTTCTTATTGCCTTATTTAAAGTACAGTTGGAAACAATGTTTTAAATAAATTACTGAGTACTTTAAATTATCTATATTTTGTACTTTTTTAGGTTACCATCACCTATGTTCGTGAGTTAGAAAAAGCATCATTATCAGAAAGAATAATCTAGATTTGCTTAGATATTATGTTTTTCAACAAAGAGATACAGACTTCCGTTCAAGTCAAATACTTAGACTATACCCAGACAGCAGAATTGACTTATCATCTTGATGGTCAAAACTAAACTAATCTAATGAAGACTTTAATGAGACCACTTTGGGTGTATGAAGTGGAACTGTGGGGTTCTGCCAACAGCCAAGCATCCAATAGTTCCAATTAAATAATATCAACTTTCATTTTTGTCAATGAACTAATCCGGTCTCAATTCCAAAAGTTTCACACTAACTTCTCGATCCATCCTAACCTTACAGCTTAAGCCCGGTCTATACATTCCTATCCCTAGAATACACCACATCACCTTATCAACTATGGCCTTAAGACCTTGTTGCCTCTTAATCTCTCACACTGAGTGCCCACTGGCTGGTTTTTCAGGTTTTCTCTGAGTGCAGTGTTAGTAGAAAGAATGTACTGTGGTCATATTTGTAATATGTGCTAATCTGTTTAGGCTACTAATTAAATAAATAAAAAAGGTATTTTATTTACGGTTATTACTAAAAAGGAATTATTTAGTTTTATAACACCTAGCTTCTTGCTTTTTTTTTTTACAATTAGAGAATGAATGACAACAATTAACAGTGACAATGTTTAATCTTTTAATCAAACCAAAAGAAAAAGACTTCTTAAGCGCGTAAGTTATGTGTTGAGGGTTGTTTATTTAATAGTGTTTTCTGACCTGATCCATTTTTGGTGGTGCAGGGAGGTTGAAAATTATGTTCCTATGTGCAGTATCGTATGAGGAAGGTGACCTAGGTCTGTCATTCACAATCTTAGAGTGTGATCTTGATTTTTCATGTATGGACCCTGTAGGTGACCTTAGCCTGAAACTGCTACGAGACTTTGATTTTTCATATGCCGCATCAGTAGATGACTTTTGCCTGTCGCTTGAATACCTAGTAGTAGACTTATATCTATCAAGTGATGTTTCTGGTGGTGATCTAGGCATGTCGTAGTTAAGGTTTGTACGAGACATTTGTAGTGCATGGTGTGATGATTCTGTAAGTGAATGTATCTGTTCCTGCATGTAGAATGGTATAGAGTGTGAATATAAATTAGGTATCCTTGGCTTCGAATGCGAGGATAGTATGGGTGATTTAGGTCTTGTGTGTTGGTTTAGCATTGGTGATTGAGGTCTAGAATTTGAGTACACAACTGTAGAATTTCTTTGCACGTTGCTAGACGAATGAGTGGATATGACTGGAGATCTGGTTCTCGAGTGCCCAGTGGATAAATCCATTTTGTCTCTTCTACTCCAAATACTTTCAGTGGATGTCCCTCCCAAGTATTTTAATGATGACGAATCACTTATTGTTGGATTGAGTTTTCTTTTCCTCCAGGCGACCGAGTCGGTTTTTGTATCTTCCATTAAATAGTTCCAGTTTTCTGCAACGCTAACACTGCCTATGCTTGATACCTCATCGTTCTTTGAATCTTCAATCCTTTTCACCCAATCTTTGGTCTTCGAAGCAAGGTCAACCATCCAAGTCGACCATTCTTTCACCATTGGATTTTTAATATTTGGTTTTTCTCTACTCACCAAGGCTTTCAGTCTGTTTCCATCTTTGACTTCTTCCACATAGACTCTCCTTCCACCAAGCTTAGCCGAGTAAATCTGCCCAGTTCTTTCAAACGATAAAGGCCTGTCTATCGGCACTTTCTCAATCACTACTTCTTTCGGCTTATGACCCTCTCCCGTTGCATCTAGTGTTTTGATGCTATGGGCAGAAACAGATTTTCTGACACTCTGCTGTGAGCTGAATCCAGATCTGGTCGCCCAACTCAGATTTTTCAACTTCTGAACACCGTAGGCTTCTTTCATCATCCCTTCAACCCATCTTGCCAATTTTTTGGCGGCGATTTCACACACTCTCGGGTCTTCTTCCAGTTCCGCTATTTTGACTTTTAACTTTTTGACAAGAACACGATACAAATTAGATGTGGAATCACGCTCTGTGGGACATGTTTCAGACTCTATCATGTCGGCCACTTGGTCCAGAACCCTTTTTCTTGTAAGTTTTCGATTGAGTTCATCATAATCAAACTCAGTAGACTTTTTAGGCTGCAAAAGATTATTTACATTGTGAGATTCTTCATGGTGTCTCCAGCAGGATGAAGCTGTAGTTCGGTCGTTTCTGATCATATTGGTCTATCTTTGCTGGTTTGGTTCAACACACATATGTGTCACAGATCTGCTGAAGTTGGTGCAAAGCCGAGTATCTGACTTACCAAACCAGTGAGGATACACATTTCAAAATGTTGAAAAACGACCAAACTAAAGATTATTTAGCTTAAAAAAAGATAAAGCATAATACCAAATATCCATAATACTATATTAGTTTAAGTTAAAAACGGTTGTAACTATATCTTTGATCATTAACATCAATATTAGTTGAGAAGTTTAGTAAATGCTTGTTAATTTTATCAATGTATATGCTTAATGTCGAATTATTTTAAATAATAATAATATAATGAAAATGCATCACATATTCTTTTGAGTTGAGTTATTTTTCACTTAAGAAGAATTGATCCTGACATTTGAACAAGAGTAAAACAAATAATTTATGTCTTTACTTTTGCTCAAACCACCCTTAGAGTGATTCTAAAGATCGAAAACGTTTTAAAACTGTGGTACTAGCATTACAAATATCACAGAGGTTTAAAAGACTTTCCACCTTTATTTCCCTCGGTTTCAAATGTAGTTCATTCATCTGCAATAAAAACAAAACAAAAATAAAAGCAAGAAGCAATCACGTCATAAACCGTTCTGTAAAAATGGCGTTTATCTGTCTTACTGTATTGTGTCGTTCTGTAGTGGCTTTGGTGTGAAGAGCTTTTCCCCTTGGTGTCCTTGTCTTGTCACTCTTTGTCCTACCGTGTTATAGACTTGAAAGCATGTTTTCTTTGGCTTGTCCATATGTTAAATTTTTGAAATTTCGATTTTTAAAAGTTCGATTTAATTTGTGTTTTTTTATTTTTAGTGATTGGGTAGACAATTTATTTTCAGGCCGATGTCGTAATGTTTTAAACTTTAAAGGTAAAAATTATTAGGATCTATGTTTAGGGCTCATATCAAAGCCGATTGAATTTTTTTTCGATGAGTTTTACAGTGCTTTCTGGCTTTTCCTGTAGGATTTTTTCTTTCTTTCGGCCTAAACATTTAAAACAAAAACCCTCGTTATTTATCGTTTTATTGCCATGAAGCAAGTTCGTTGTATTAACTTAACGATAAACGACGACAACAATCTGTTTAGATATTCTCGCTATCAAGATACAAACGAGTGACATATAAGAATACTCAAATAAACACAGGAGTAGGTGATAGCGGCGCACGAATTTATTTACAGCTTGATATAAATCTTTTCTACACTGGCTATCTCCATTAAGTAACTTCCACTTGGGAAATGCCCAATAGTCGTCTTCATAACTGTAATTCTCACATAAAAGAGGTTAAAAGTTAAGAACTGAAATGCATAGAATAAAGAAGAGGAAAATTGGAAAGAAAGGGAAGACATCCAAGAAAATTATTTTCTTTATTCCCCTTCTTTTCAGTAGTTTTATTATATTTTTATAATTTTGTATTGCTTCGAAAAGGTTTTGGCACATTTTCCATAAAATAATGGTAATGGTAGTGGCAAAACGTGTCAAAAAATATAAACCATTATTAGTGTGAATATAAATATACTTCCTATAAACAAGCCAAAAATAGTAATGAAATAACAAAAATCCAAAAAAATGCCATCACCATTCAAAATAACTATTTTAATCCGAGTTTAGATTTAGAAAGAATATAAAACCATGTAAAATACTTGCAAATCCTGATTTTCATTTATTTTTATGGCCTTTTTATAAAAAAAAAAATTAAAATTAATGTGTCGTGTTTAGTGACCGTCAGTCAATGATTATTCGGAGATCGTGAGATGTAGGTTTTAGAAAAACATTTTCTTTATCGTGCCAACGTTTCGATCTTTATTGAGATCATCTTCAGGGCCTGGGACTTATAAACATTGTTTAAATTTTACAAATGCATGTAGTATGTGGAAAGAAAATGAATTTATACAATGCTAGAAAATTTTAGATAAAAAAATGAATTTATACAATACTAGAAAATTTTAGATTTTTAAAAAATTGATCCATTTGTTCCATTATTTCCATTTTTTAAGTCTAAAATTTTCTAGCATTGTATAAATTCATTTTTTTAATCTAAAATTTTAGAAAATGGATTTATACAATGCTAGAAAATCTTTTGATGTCAAACAATTTTCTAGCATTGTATAAATCCATTTATTTTAATCTAAAATTTTCTAGCATTGTATAAATTCAATTTTTTTAATCTAAAATTTTCTAGCATTGTATAAATTCATATTTTTTAACGTAAAATTTTAGAAAATGGATTTATACAATGCTAGAAAATCTTTTGATATCAAACAATTTTCTAGCATTCTATAAATCCATTTGTTATAATCTAAAATTTTCTAGCATTGTACAAATTGAATTTGTTTAATTCCAAAATTTTTTAGCATTGTATAAATTCATTTTATTTATTTATTTAATCTAAAATGTTTTAGCATTATATAAATTCATTTTTTCACATCCTACATGTATTTGTATAATAAAACAATGTTTATAAATCCCAGGCCCTGAAGATGATCTCAATAAAGATCGAAACATTGCCACGATAAAGAAAATGTTTTTCTAAAACCTACGTCACACCAGACCGCATCTCACGATCTCCGAATAACCATTTAAAATTAATTTATAGGTACCCTATACATATTCGTACATATTACAAATGTTTGTTGTTTTTTCACGGTTACAACATTAATACTAATGCCAGCGCTATACCTGGAAGTCGCATGACATGAGAAACCAGCCAATGATGGCACTCTGAATGAGGGATTAAGGGGCAAGGAGCTCTTAGGACCATGCGACGTGACGCGTTCTCGGGATGAGAATGTGTAGAGAGAATCGGGCATTAAGATTAGGATCGATGGAATGGTGTGAAACTTTTGAGATCGGGACGGATCAGTTCATTGACAAAAGGAATGTTGAGGTCGTTGTGGATAGAGAGGTTAGTGACATAATAAGGAACTTTGAACATTTGTCTGAGGACTTGATTGGAAGGATTGGACACGTTGGATGTTGGATGGCTTGGCAGAAAAACCACAATTTTTACTCCGTATATCTAAAGTGGTCGTTGTAGGTTAGTCTAGCTTTGACGTCAAGGCAGATTTGGTACTAGAAGTCTTCGTAGTTGTCCTAATCTTGTGAGTTGTTGTATCTTATGTCTTGTAGGGAAATTCCATGTCAGTCTGCTGTCTAGGTACAGTCCTAACCACTTGATCTGAATGGACGTCGGTATCTCTTTGGTGTTGATGTACTATGGAGGGCTAGACTAGTTTCTCCATGTGAACGTCCATATTCCTCGGGGTAATTGGAAATATAAACCTTTTCATTCACACTAATAAATTACATAAACACCATCTCAGAGTAGTCGGTATTCCTCGGTGTAATTTGGGAGGAACCCTGCCATTCACGCTAATAAATTACATTCACACACCAGACTTCGTTCACACTACCACACTGAACCTCGATATTCCTCGGGGTAATTGGGGATAAATCCTATCATTCGCGTTAATAAATTACGTTCACACATTCAATTACACTACCAGAGAGTACTCGATATATTCGCTCGAGTTACCGCAAGTTTAATAAAACCGTTCCAACAAACATAAATTCTCAAATAGAAAAACATTCATCCAGATATTCATTCGAACGTTTCTCGCCGAGACGGTGGCCACGGTCTGGTGTGTGAATGTAATTTATTAGCGTGAGTGGGAGGTTTCCTCCCAAATTACACCAAGGAATATTGAGTACTCTGAGATAGTGGGAATGTAATTTATTAGTTTGAATGAAAGGGCTTATATTAACCCGATCTATCGTCGTTCACATCGTTGTCCTGATGGAATGACAGTGACAGTGATAGTCTTAAGTAAATAAAAAATGTTATAGATTCATTGGAGTACTGTCAATTTGTAGTTTCTCTCCTCTTGTTTGATTAATTTTATATATTTTACTTCTCAATGTTACATGCTAACTAATTGAACGTGGTTGTACTATACGTGCACTATAAATAAAAAAAATGAAATTTGAATTTAGTACGCGTTATTTACAATTTCTAACCAGTTCAATGATTAATCCCGGGATTAAAAGATATTTGACGAAACCGAAAGATAGCGCGGTCATGGCGAGTTTTGGGCAAACAATCTTCTGGGAAGATGGATGAGGTTTTCCACCTTCCAGCTTAATAAAGATGAGATTGAAATGATTGCTTTGGCCGACGCCCAACCATGCCGGCAGCAAGCACAAATAAATAAATGAGTTAATTCATCGAGATTATTTAACGATTTGCTAGTTAAAATAAAATTTCGACAGAAACATTCTTGTACTTGTATTCCACATGAAACCCTTTACATCATTTGATGTTCTTTTAGACCAGTGACAAATTAATTGAGTTGCTTTGAATGTTGAACGATCTTCTTTATGTCTGCGAGTTGACAGCAGTCCGTTTATTCTCGCTGTTTAAACGTGCATTTCCGCTTTATGTGTGTGACATTCATTTATTGCACGTTACTGGAATGTATGTAACTTATTGGAATATATGTATTACATATATAACTGAGCAAATAATGCTAATTAATATACATTATTATTAGTAATAATTATATTTAGTTTCCAATCTTCCATTAATATGAAATGACCAACTTTTCAAGGACGTGCATTCAATTCATTTTAACGGGCTTCAAAAATAATGTTTTGAACTGGCTAATATTTATAGTTTGACGTCAATTAGAAGAGAATTTGTTATTTAGTCGAATGCCAAATTGTTTGACTAGGTAAACCAACGTACTAACTGAAATACTTAACAATCTTCACAGGGTGTTCGGCTTACTCGCGGTACAAACTTTGCCAGTAGATTCAACATTCAAAATGGAGCCAAAAAGTCCTAACTTACTATGGTCCGAATCTCAGCAGTTTCGGAGTTATTCCACTTTTTCTGATTTTTTAAGATTTCACGACCTTACTTCAAATAAACAATGATAACTCCAAAACTAAACGGTTTTGGACAAATCCGTTGATACCATTGAAACTATGTTAAATTTCCAATAAAATGCGATCAATATTAAACCTGTAAACGTTCATGAAATAAGCGTTTTAGTAGCCAGAACATTGATTTTTTTTCAAAGTTGAATTATAATCTGCAGATCATCATTATATATGTCCATGTTGTGTAGATGTTTTCTCAGACACCAGTAACTAATACCACTCCTCTGGGTTTAGTCCTCTCCAATTGCAGCAGTGATTTTGCCAGTCTTGGTGCTAGAGTTTATCCACTTCTCCTTTTGTTTTGTTTGGATCCATTCTGCGATGGAGGATTCTATACTTATTTGTTTTTGTTATCCCAAGAATAGGTTCGGGGCCTATGCAGATCCTCCTCTGGCCAATCTGTCTGCTTTCTCGTTACCCAAAATTCCCCTTGCCCTGGCACCCAAGATATCATCAGGCTGTTGTGTTTACCCACGTTTTGTTGATTTTGGATGCATTCACTGACTAATTTTGATGTGATTCTTTTACATGCTATTGCTTTAATGGCTGCTTGGCTATCAGATCTTTCGAGGATATTGTTTGCCAGTGTAAAAGGTTATATTGGCATTTTTAAGATTTTCCAGGGCATTTCTGCTTGAAAGACCGAAGTGTACTTCCCTAATGAGTTTGATTGCTTATGTTTTGGGCTTGTACAGAAAATGCCCGATCCGGTCCCTTCGTTTGTTGTGGAGCCATCTGTATACCAAACATTGAACCTCATGCTCTTCTGGATTCTTCTGCTTTATAGTTCGTTGAGACTTTACAGAATGTTGTAGGGATTATATACTCAGCCTATTT